GCATGAGACATCCAGAGTCCAGAGCTCAGCCCCATTGAGAATCTTTGGGATGTGCTGGGGAAGACTTTGCGCAGCAGTGCGACTCTCCCATCATCAATACAAGATCTTGATGGAAAATGAATGCAACTCTGGGTGGAAATAAATGTTGTGACATTGTAGAAGCTCATTCATCGATGCTGGAGTGTGAATGTCGTTCTATGCCATCTAAGTAGGAACTTATGTCATTATGTAACAGCCAACAGTGGACTCCTGTCATACTATACAGTACAAGTGGGGACTTTTTATCAATTAAAACTAAAAAAAGAAAGGATCATGTTGCTGCTAATTTAATTCCTATTTTGATGACTGTAATCTGTGAAATGTTTGTTGTTAAGGGCAAAAACTAAATAAGATATAATCCAATAACATAATAAGGATAAATGGACCACTCTGTTTAATTCACCATTCCACATACATCATAAAAATAATACAAATTCCCCAAATAAACTTTAATTAGTGCACTATTGTAATAATATATGATTTCTGTAATTAAAAAGTAATGTTGTTGCTAGCACTGCAGGCCTTAATATCAGTGCATGCAGCCAAGTTACTTCCTAATTACAGGTAAATCATTATTTATTCTCAAAAAAAGTGGCCATGATTATTTTTGTAATATCTGTATCGCAGATAAAGGTTTAAATATTGAAAACATTAGTTAAATAGTATTTTTGAAGGAAACAAAGAAAGTATTTGCAGTAAACAAACACTCATTAGGTGAAAGACTGGGTAGAGGTAGTTTCATTGCAGCATATGGAGGTCCCCTCTTTGATAGGTAGACATCACTAATGGAAAAAAGTCCCCTCTTGGCAAAAAAATTAAATAAATACATTTGAAGTAACAAATCTAGTATCTAATCTAGTAAAAGACCTTAAATGAAAATGTTCTATACTATTTTTGTTTTTTTAAAATAACCAGAAACATCAGTCACCTGTTGGATAGTGTAGAATGATGTATGTAGAATGTAAACTTAGATGTATATTTAGACTGTTTTTCTGCTATTGATCTTCATCAGTTAACTTCAATCATTTCTTCATCGAAGCCATCAACCTGTCTGTTAGACCCGATCCCAACTAGGCTGCTTAAAGAAGTTGTTCCCTTAATTGGCACTTCTTTACTGGATATGATTAATCTTTCTTTATTGTCAGGATATGTACCACAGTCCTTTAAAGTAGCTGTAATTAAACAGCTTCTTAAAAAGTCCACTCTTGACCCAGGGGTTTTAGCCAACTATAGACCGATTTCTAACCTCCCCTTCCTCTCTAAGATTCTGGAGAAAGTAGTCGCCAAAGAGTTGTGTGACTTTCTACATAACAATAGTTTATTTGAGGATTTTCAGTCAGGATTTAGAGTTCATCATAGCACAGAGACAGCTCTGGTTAAAGTTAATAATGACCTTCTGACTGCTTCTGACAATGGACTTGTCTCTGTACTTGTATTATTAGATCTTAGTGCTGCATTTGACACCATTGACCATAATATTCTTTTACAGAGACTTGAGCATCAAATTGGCATTAAAGGAACTGCACTAACCTGGTTTAAGTCATACTTATCAGATCGTTCTCAGTTTGTACATGTTAACGATGAATCCTCCATAAATACTAAAGTTAGTCATGGAGTTCCACAAGGTTCTGTACTTGGACCAATACTATTTACTTTATATATGCTCCCTTTAGGCAACATTATTAGGAATCACTCCATTAACTTTCACTGTTATGCAGATGATACGCAGTTATATCTATCAATCAAACCCAATGAAATTAATCAATTATCTAAATTACAAACATGTCTTAAGGACATAAAATCCTGGATGACCTGCAATTTTCTGATGTTAAACTCAGAAAAAAACGAAATTCTTGTTCTTGGCCCCAAAAACCTTAGAGACTCATTGTCTAAAGATATAGTCACTCTAGATGGCATTAACTTGGCCTCTAGCACCACTGTCAGGAATCTTGGAGTTATCTTTGATCAGGATTTGTCATTTAACTCCCACATAAAGCAGACCTCTAGGACTGCCTTCTTTCATTTACGTAATATTAGAAGAATTAGACACATACTATCACAGACAGATGCAGAAAAACTAATCCATGCATTTGTTACTTCAAGGCTGGATTACTGCAACTCTTTATTATCAGGTTGTCCCAATAAGTCCATTAAAACGCTCCAATTAATTCAGAACGCTGCAGCACGAGTACTGACAGGAACTAGAAAAAGAGATCACATCTCTCCTGTACTAGCTACTCTGCATTGGCTCCCTATAAAATGTAGAATTGAATTTAAAATCCTCCTCCTAACCTATAAAGCTCTTCATGGTCAGGCCCCTTCATATCTTAAAGAGCTCATAGTACCCTATTACCCCACTAGAACACTACGTTCTCTGAATGCTGGGCTACTTGTGGTTCCTATAGTCTCTAAAAGTAGAACAGGAGCCAGAGCCTTCAGTTACCAAGCTCCTCTCCTGTGGAACCAGCTTCCAGTTGTGGTTCTGGAGGCAGACACCCTCACCACATTCAAGAGTAGGCTTAAGACATTCCTCTTTGATAAAGCTTATAGTTAGGGCTGGATCAGGTGAGTCCTGAACCATCCCTTAGTTATGCTGCTATAGGCCTAGACTATCGGGGGATTTCCCATGGTGCACTGAGCTACTCTCTTCCTCTCTCTTTCTGCACTCATTCATGTCCCTTTAATGCATGTTACTAACTCCACTTCTTCCCCGGAGTTCTTGTGCTTTCTCGTCTCGCAGGTTCTCATGGATCCTGGTGGAGCCTCCTGCCATGGTCCTGCTTGACTGCCATTGCCAATACTGTTGTTGCTGTGCACCTGTCTGTCTGTCTGTCGCTCTCTCTCTCTCTCTCTCTCTCTCACCCCAACTGGTCGAGACAGACGACCACCCACCTAGAGCCGGAGGATCTGTCCTAGGTTTCTGCCTTTTAACAGGCAGTTTTTCCTTGCCCTTGTCGCCAAGTGCTTGCTCATGGTGGTACTGTTGGGTCTCTGTAATTAATGTTAAAGAGTTCGGTCTAGACCTGCTCTATTTGAAAAGTGTCCTGAGATAACTTCTGTTATGAATTGGCGCTATACAAATAAAATTGAATTGAATTGAATTGAATGAGAGCCCCCTGTTAGTAAGGTAGGAGTGTATAGGTGTGTGTGTGTGTGTGTTACAGTGTGTGTGTGTGTTACAGTGTGTGTGTGTGTGTTACAGTGTGTGTGTTACAGTGTGTGTGTGTGTGTGTGTGTGTGTGTGTGTGTGTGTGTTACAATGTGTGTGTGTATAATCCAGCTGCAGTACTCTCACCGTCCTGTTGGTGGAGCTGTGGCTCCACAAATAAACACAGGGGGACTGCAGGATCACATATTACTGCTGCTGAGCTGATCAATAATAATATAATCAATAATTCCAATAAGAGTTCATGTGTGACTGTGGAAGAGGAAAAAGGCTTTTATTGTGAAAGACCCAATATCTTTATAGTTTAAATATAAATATATAACAATATGTCACACACACTGTAACACACACGCACACACACATACACTGTAACACACACACTCTACTGATACTGTAACTACTGTAACTATTGTAACTAACTGTAACTACTGTAACTAACTACTGATACTGTAACTACTGTAACTATTGTAACTAACTAACTATTGCAACTAACTGTAACTACTGTAACTAACTACTGATACTGTAATTACTGTAACTACTGATACTGTAACTACTGATACTGTAACTATTTTAACTACTGATACTGTAACTACTGTTACTAACTACTGATACTGTAACTACTGTAACTATTGTAACTAACTAACTATTGCAACTAACTGTAACTACTGTAACTAACTACTGATACTGTAATTACTGTAACTACTGATACTGTAACTACTGATACTGTAACTATTTAACTACTGATACTGTAACTACTGTTACTAACTACTGATACTGTAACTACTGTAACTATTGTAACTAACTAACTATTGCAACTAACTGTAACTACTGTAACTAACTACTGATACTGTAATTACTGTAACTACTGATACTGTAACTACTGATACTGTAACTATTGTAACTACTGATACTGTAACTACTGTTACTAACTACTGATACTGTAACTACTGTAACTACTGATACTGTAACTACTGATACTGTAACTGTAACTATTGCAACTAACTGTAACTACTGTAACTAACTACTGATACTGTAACTACTGTAACTACTGATACTGTAACTACTGATACTGTAACTGTAACTATTGCAACTAACTGTAACTACTGTAACTGTAACTACTGATACTGTAACTACTGTAACTACTGATACTGTAACTGTAACTATTGTAACTAACTGTAACTACTGTAACTACTGATACTGTAACTGTAACTACTGATACTGTAACTACTGTAACTGTAACTACTGTAACTATAGTAACTAACTGTAACTACTGTAACTAACTACTGATACTGTAACTACTGTAACTATTGTAACTGTAACTACTGATACTGTAACTACTGTAACTGTAACTACTGTAACTATAGTAACTAACTGTAACTACTGTAACTAACTACTGATACTGTAACTACTGTAACTATTGTAACTGTAACTACTGATACTGTAACTACTGTAACTATTGTAACTGTAACTACTGTAACTGTAACTACTGTAACTATTGTAACTGTAACTACTGTAAGTATTGTAACTGTAACTACTGTAAGTATTGTAACTGTAACTACTGATACTGTAACTACTGTAACTATTGTAACTACTGTGTACTTTTACTGCAGTATCTTGAATGAAGGACTTTTATTTGTAATGGAGTATTTTTACATTGTAGTACTTTTACTTGAGTAAACTGTGAGAACTTTTTCCTCCTCCAACCGTCCGCGAACAGAGCGGAAACGCGCGCGCAGCAGGAGCGCGGCGGTGCGGCTGCGGCTCGAGGAGGTCTCGCTCAGCAGAGAGACCGGCAGGAACAGCTTCAAACCGGTTTCTGTGGCACAAAGACCGCTTCCTGTAGCGGTTCAGTCAGTCACAGGGCAGCAGCAGCCACAGGAGGAGCAGCAGGAGGAGCAGCGGCAGGAGGAGGAGGATGGCGGACACGGTGGAGCTCTGAAGACGCCGAGCGGAGGAGCGCAGATGGAGAAAGTTTGAGGTTTGTCGGCGGCGGACGGAGCGCAGCGGCAGGTAGAGCTCACCGTGCGTGTGTGCGTGCGTGTGAAGAGAGAGAGAGAGAGAGAGAGAGAGAGAGAGGACAAAGACTGAGGGACACTGAGGGTTGGACAGGGAACAGAAACCAGTGCACAGTGGGGGGAGCAACAACCTCCGTCACAGCTGATGACGGCAGAGGCTGTATGACATCATGATGATGTCATGATTAAAGTAAAGATGCTGCACGTGGCCCGCTCGAGTAATCGATTACTGTCCGAGGAGCAGTAAAAGTACACAGTAGTTACAGTAGTTACAGTATCAGTAGTTACAGTTACAGTATCAATAGTTACAGTTACAGTAGTTACAGTTACAGTTACAGTAATTACAGTTACTGTATCAGTAGTTACAGTTACTGTATCAGTAATTACAGTTACAGTAGTTACCGTTACAGTATCAGTAGTTACAGTTACAGTAGTTACAGTTACAGTTACAGTAGTTACAGTTACAGTATCAGTAGTTACAGTTACAGTAGTTACAGTAGTTACAGTTACAGTATCAATAGTTACAGTATCAGTAGTTACAGTATCAGTAGTTACAGTAGTTACAGTATACAGTAGTTTTCAGTCGTTACGTAGTTACAGTAGTTACAGTTACAGTATCAGTAGTTACAGTTACAGTAGTAAAATAGTAGTTACAGTAGTTACAGTTACAGTATCAGTAGTTACAGTTACAGTAGTTACAGTTACAGTATCAGTAGTTACAGTTACAGTAGTTACAGTAGTTACAGTATCAATAGTTACAGTTACAGTAGTTACAGTATCAATAGTTACAGTTACAATAGTTACAGTATCAGTAGTTACAGTTACAATAGTTACAGTTACAGTATCAGTAGTTACAGTTACAGTAGTTACAGTTACCTTCCTCTCTCCTTCCCAGCAGACCGCTCACCTTGCTTCCTGCCGTGTCACCCATCCTTACACCATGTCCCCCCTGGGCCCCGGCCCCGAGGCTGCCCGGCCCCCGGCCCTCGATGGCGGGTGGGGCTGGGCGGTCGTGGCCTGTAGCTTCCTGGCTCTGCTGCTGGGGTACGGCTCTCCTCAGTCGGTGGGGGTCCTCTACCCCGAGTGGCTGCTCGCCTTCGGGGAGGGGAAGGCCACGACGGCCTGGGTGGGCTCACTGGTGGTGGGAGTCGGACTCATAGTGGGTGAGGATCCCTCCCTCTCTTCTTCTTCTCCTCCCTTTTTAAACCCTCACTTCCTTCACTGTTTATTTAATAAACTGTTAATAAAAGTTAAATTAAAGTTATTTTCTGTATGTTTTTGCCCCCGCAGGAATATTAAAGTTTGTATAAATCTTTTTTTACAGTGTTGACCCCCTCACCCTCTCTCCCCCTCCAGGTCCCATCTGCAGTGTCTGTGTGGTGAATTTCGGGGCTCGGCCCGTCACCGTCTTCAGCGGCGTGATGGTGGCGGGGGGGTTGATGCTCAGTGCCTTCGCTCCCAACGTCCCCTTCCTCATCTTCTCCTTCGGCATCGTGGTCGGTAAGGCCGCCGCTCTCGTTCTGGTCTCGGCCTCGTGGTGCCAGTGAATTAATCGCAGTTGGTGGTTTCTGGTCCTGGTGTGAGCGTTATTTCAGTCTCAGGCTGCACTCGGCCTGCTGGGAAGGCGGGAACCTCTGTTTGTTCAGCTGTGCGTCGTAAAGAGCAGACAGGGTTGTACTCAGCAGCTGCTACGGTGTCCTGAGAGGATCACACTGCATTGTTAGAACCTCAGGGTGGTGAGGGCGGTTTGAGAGCCGGTTCGGTGCCTAATCCTGAACCAGTTCAGGAGTCTTAGAGGACACTTTCCATCAGTCCAACATTAGCAGAGAGAGTTGGACACAGAGGTCAGACTGATTGTGTCCTCTGTGTGTCTCAGGTGTCGGTGTGGGTCTGCTGTACACCGCCACCCTCACCATCACCTGTCTGTACTTTGAGAAGAAGAGAGGCCTGGCGCTGGGGATAGTGACCACAGGTACGTCTGCCACACGTCCTGTCTGCAGGTAACGTCCATCCAGTCAGACTCACACTGAATGACCTCCTCACCTGTCTGTCTGTCTCCGGCGCTCAGGTACGAGTGTGGGTGGCTTCCTGTACTCGGCGCTGCAGAGCGAGCTCATCGAGCGGTTTGGTCTGGACGGCTGCCTGCTCGTCGTCGGAGCGCTGGCGCTCAACGTGGTGGCGTGTGCCGGCCCCATGCGACCGTTAACCCCGCCCAAATACTACCTCAAACAGCGCGCCGCCATCTTAGAGCGGCGGCTTCAAGAAGAGGAAGAAAAGCCTTCAGCCAAAGATCCAGTTATCGCCATGGAAACCAGGGGGAGGAGCTTATTCAGCTGTTCGGCCTTCGTCAGGATGATTAAGATGAAGATGAGACGTTATTCCCAGTGAGTGAAATAAATGAAACAAGAAAAAACTGATTCTCGATGATAATAAGTTTAAATTTCTCCTCTGTTCTCCTCAGATGTTTGTCCTCCATGTTGTCTGTCCTTCAGGACAGAGTCCTCATGGCGCTCTGCGTCTCTCTCTTCCTCTTCAGCGTAGGTCAGTCTCTCTGCTCTTCTTCTTCTGGTGTTGTTCTTCAAACTGACCTCTAACATGAGGAGTCGTCACCAGCTGAACCTCCTCACCTGTAACCTCCTCCCGCAGGTAACTTCCCCCCTCAGATCTTCCTGGAGGACCTGGCTCGGAGCTCCGGGATGACGGAGGGCGTCGCCTCCATCTCCCTGGTCTCCCTCAACGCCATCGGGGCCGGTGTGGGTAAACTGGGGCTGGGTGTCATGGCCGACGTGCCGCGGGTCGACAGCGTCCTCCTGTATGCTCTGACGGTGGGAGTCGGCGGGTTGGGAGTTCTGCTCATCCCCCTCGCCAGGTGAGACCCTGAGGACAGGTATCAGTAGGACAGTAGATTGTAATAAATACGTACAATTATATTATAATAACTCTTTCAATAACGTTTCAGCTCGTACCTGGACCTCCAGGTGCTGTCGGTGGTCCTGGGCTTCCTGAGCGGGAACTGGACTCTGATACCGTACGTCACCAGTCAGGTGGTCGGTGTGGAGAAGCTCGCCGAGGCTCACGGGATCCTCATGTTCTTCGGAGGCGCCGGACTCACGCTGGGTCCTCCTGTCGTAGGTAAAGCCTCATATACTCTGCAGCTACACAGCGTCAGTAATCAATACCCACATTATTAAAGCAATGATAATAATAAAGACGCTGCCGTTACCATAGTAACTGCCTGTTTCCTGTCTAGCAGCCTCTCATTGGCTCCTGTGTGTCTGCAGGTTGTTTCTACGACTTCACTCAGTCCTACAATGTCGCCTTCTACCTTAGCGGCGGCTGCATGATGGTCGGCAGCGTCGTCCTCTTCCTCGTCGCTGTCCTACCACGAACAGATACTCCTCCTCCTCCTCTTCCGCCTCCTGACACCGAGCTCATCAGCTGCACCGTTACCACGCCAACAGACGCTACCTCACCTGACACCTGAACAAATCTGGACCCTGATCCGGACGATGACTTAATGTTTACAGGAAGGAATTTTTTACTGGATTCTGAAAGAATAAAACCAGAACAGAGTCTGATTGGTCCTCTCAGTGGACGCTTCCACAGGTCTGGAAAATACTTGAAAGTGCTTGAATTGATCAGAATCTCTGAGTTTGACCACCCAACAGTCGAGTTTCAAACAAATACGCAGCCGATCTGAGGGGTACAATGCATTAAAATGGAGATAATTTCCAGGTTTCCAGCTGTATGAAGCTCTGTGACTGCGAACAGACGCAGTTAGGTGCCAAATAAAGAGAAACCAGAGTGAGTGGAAGTGATTTGTATCAATGTGGGATGACTGACAATCAGAACGGAAGAACAGTGCTTAGAAAACATTGGTGAAACTACAGATATTTAATGTGGCCACACAGAGATAAAACAAATATACTGAGGCCACATTTTCACTAATTAATATAAAGTGTGAACGAACTCAGTAGCATTTCGAGCACTCAGTGTAGTAAAACGTGGCCAGAATCAATATTTTTTTCTCCATCACAATGAAGCAATATTTTTGGCGGCTTTAAAAATTCCCTCATGTTGGTGAAATTAAAGGTTGAAACATTTCTGAGGTCCTTTGGTGCTAATTAAAAGGAAATTCTGGTTTATATACAGTTTGATTTTATTCTTGTTTTTCTGGATCTTTTGTATTTTTACAGTTTTTATTCATCTTACTGAAAACTTGTTTTTTGTAAGTTTGTTTTTATGATTGTTTTGTATTGTTATGTGTATGCTGTTTTGTTTTTTTTAATGAAAAATATGTTCATATGACAGAAAAGAAAAAGATGGAAATGCACTTTAACTCTGAACATATTTTAGTTTGTTTAAAGGGTTAGAAAGAGTTTCACTAATTACATTTTCTTAAATAAAAACAAACAGTTTATATGTTATGAAGTTGTTTTAAGTCTCTTCAAAGCCACCAGATTCCATTCATAAAAACTGTTTTACCTTTTTCTGCCTCCATCGGTTAGCTTGCTATTGTGTGACTTTGCTGTTTTAACCAGTTACTTCTCGCAACAGTAATTTAATTACTTACCATTTACTGTAGTGATGACAAAAATGTTAAAAATTAAACATATTAGCATTTTGAATTCAAATAAAATCTCCTGGAATCAAACTCCATTTAAGAAATATAACATTTGAACAATTCCTAGATACAGGGCATAGGTCAATGCTGTAGATACAGGTCAGTGGTCAGTGTTTTTGGCCCTGATTGCTGACTGCAGTATATACCCTCTGAGAAGAATATAATTAGTTGTTTGAAGATATAAAAAGGGGAATTCAGCTGCTACATCCAAATATTCTGGATTCATTTTTGTACAGTGGGATGAAGTGGAGACAGCCATCTTTATACGTTGATGTTTAGTAGACAGGAGGACCTACTTTATAGCTACATTAGCTAACTAGCACTACTTTCTAACTGTATACAGTGATTTTAGTAGAACTGGATCAGGTTTTATGGAGGAAATATTTCCTGGTTTAACCTCTGACGTCCTACCGCTGCTCAGCTTCAACTCTCTGAGATTTACAGTTTCCTGATGGACAGATCTATACAGAAAAATCTATACACCCAATCAATATCTATGATAATTCCCTTCTGCCTGTTTTTACAGGAAATATGTAAACATGAGGAAACAAACAGCTCTTCAATGACTTTAATGAGAACAGATGTTTACAGAGGTCCTTGTCAGTTGGTCAGAAGTACGGTGTTGGGTCGCTCCTGTTGCACATCTGGACGTGGATGTGTGAGATGATTCCTGGGAAAACCGTCTGCATGGGCAGCATGACGCCGATCCTCTGCCCCTTCCTCACTGAGCCAGAGGTTCGGTCCGGATTCACAGGGAACAGCTTGAAACACAGACCTGCAGACACATAAACACCACGATCAATGCCACGATTAATACCACGATCAACGCCACGGTTAATATAATAAGTGTGTTGACCAACCCTCTCCTCTCAGGCTGATGCCGTTGTTGAGGACCGCCTTGTCGGGGTCGGTGAAGGGGGTGATGGTGTTTCCGTGGAGCGTCACATCAAATGGAGCGTAGACGATCGATCCGTCGTTGCACTCGATGTCCAGACCTTTGTGCTCTCTGCTCCCCCTGAAACACAGCAGACAACATATAAAAAGTGGGTTTCACGTCATGACTGACAGCTGAGCCGTACTCGCATTGAGTTGGCTTATGGTCGGGACCTTGACGCCACAGCGCCGACCCCGATCACGACTGCACAGACTCTGGCTCCGAATGGAGGAAGATTGCAACACACGTATCATTCTGCACACTGCAAAAGCCCCAACATACTGCTCATTTTAAAACAACCACAAAGAGACAACAAACAACCACAAAGAGACAAAAACAACCACAAAGACACAACAAACAACCACAAAGAGACAACAAACAACCACAAAGGACAAAAACAACCACAAAGACACAACAAACGACCCAAAGAGACAACAAACAACCACAAAGAGACAAAAACAACCACAAAGACACAACAAACAACCACAAAGAGACAAAAACAACCACAAAGAGACAAAAACAACCACAAAGACACAACAAACAACCACAAAGAGACAACAAACAACCACAAAGAGACAAAACAACCACAAAGACACAACAAACAACCACAAGAGACAACAAACAACCACAAAGAGACAAAAACAACCACAAAGACACAACAAACGACCACAAAGAGACAAAAACAACCACAAAGAGACAAAAACAACCACAAAGACACAACAAACAACCACAAAGAGACAAAAACAACCACAAAGAGACAACAAACAACCACAAAGAGACAAAAACAACCACAAAGACACAACAAACATGGTGGACTGTGTAGAAGAGGACCTGCTCCCTCTGTGAATATTATAATAAAGTGACACACTGGAGCTTTAATCCTGGTCTGATGTGGGTCTTTAATATTTACTTTGTGAGGGCAGAAGAAGAGACAGAAACACTGAGTCCTACATTTCCCACACTGCACCTGAACGGCTCTCCTTACCGCGGGGCTCCGTAGCGTCCCTGTCCCCAGCGGTCCGACGTCCTCCTGCTGTTGGCTGAGTTTCCATTGCAGAGCTGACCGAACTTCACACCGTCACACACACACAGCACAGCTGCACACAGACAGTTCATTTACTGATAATCAATCAATGTATTGATCTCAAACAGCTCCAGTCTCAATGCTGCATGTATTGAACAGCGGGGAGAAGAAGCTGAACTCTCCCTCTGATCTCAGTCAACCAGCTGTTAAACATCAACAATGAAGCTTTAGAATGGAACAGAGAACAATATTCAGTTTCTCACCCAACAAAACCACGACACGCCTCATCTTCATCTTCAGCGTCTGATCCAGAGCGAGTTCCTGCTGTCACACTGAGGCTCCACTTTATACTCGCTGATGGTCCTCTGTCCTCACAGTGGGACGGACAGACAGACGCTGTTTACCTGTCCTCACCTCTCTGACCTCACACACACAGGAGTTTTCAGTATTTCACAATAAGAGTCTGTCCAGTCTGTCAATACAGGATCATTATCATTCATAAAGATTGTTTGTGTGTAAGAGCAGGATTTCTGTGTTCATGTCAGTGTGTTTATATCCTGTTTGATGCAAATAAACCTCCCACGTGGAGTGAAACCGTCAGTTCCTCCCCTCTGTGAGTCTGTCACTCTGTCTGGGGTTCCTTCTGTGGGAGTTTTTGCTCTTTCAGTCATTAATCAAAGTGCACGAGGCTTAGTGAGCCAGCCAGGAGTCAAACCTGGAGTCTGATCCGTTCATGTCAGCTGTAAGGGGGGTGGGGGGGGTGTTTATACAACTGACCCCTTTAAATGATATTAAATATTAAAGTTGTGCATAATTAAGGGGGCGTGGTTTCTTTGAGTGGCAGGTGGGTGTCGTCATACACTGTTTTCTTTATAAAAGTTTAGGGGGCGTCACAGAGACGTTGGTCAGTGGGAACCTGTGCACATACACACTTATTATACACACCTGATGATGATAAAAGACTCACAACACAAGTTCTCTTTACAGTTTATTTGTTTGTAGCAGAGGACTCTACTGAGGACAGATGTTTACAGAGGTCCTCAGTGAGTTGGTCAGAAGTACGGTGTGGGGTCGCTCTTGTCACACATCTGGACGTGGACGTGGGAGGTGATTCCTTCGTAAACCGTCTGCATGGGCAGCATGACGCCGATCCTTTCCCCCTTCCTCACTGAGCCAGAGGTTTGGTCCGGCTGAACGTAGAACAGCTTGAAACACAGACCTGCAGGAACCGAACCTTTACTTCAGTACAAATACCACACAGTACCAACACTCTGCGGCTCCAGTTAGCTAACGGGATGGCTAGTAGAAAGCTATTGTTAGCATTGTACCGCTACATCATTTATTGTTGTCTAAAACACCATTTGTCAGAATACATCAGTTAGCATCATGGATGACTTCCCCAGCTAACGTTAGAGAACTAATATAAGCACTCAGATAGGATTTTACTAGCAGAGGAAGTGGCTACGTTACAACCCGTTCACTCACTGCTCATAAACATCTGACTCCTGGAAGCTTTAAGTACAGTAACAGGTTTAACAGAAGTGTGTGCACCGACCCTCTCCTCTCAGGTTGATGCCGTTGTTGATGGCGGCCTTCTTGGGGTCGGTGTAGACGATGACGTTCCCATGGAGCGTCACATCAAACGGAGCGTAGACGATCGATCCGTCGCTGCACCTGATGTCCAGACCTTTGTGCTCTCTGCTCCCCCTGAAACATATCCAGCTGTTAACAGCTGCCTCACACATTATTACTCATTCAAATCAACATGAATTAACCCAAATCACAACTGTTCACAGTTATGCTCCACTTGAGCATCATTTTTCAAATTAAAGTTGTTTTTTATTTATTTTGATCTGATGAGAACCAAAAAACACCTCTTAAATGCATTAATTCAGTTCTTATTGTCATATAAACACAAACTTAAAGGTCCAGCGAGACCACAAAGAGACAACAAACAACCACAAAGAAACAACAAACGACCACAGAGACAACAAACAACCACAAAGAGACAACAAACAACCACAAAGAGACAACAAACAACCACAAAGACACAACAAACGACCACAAAGAGACAACAAACAACCACAAAGAGACAACAAACAACCACAAGGAGACAAAAACAACCACAAAGACACAACAAACAACCACAAAGAGACAAAAACAACCACAAAGAGACAAAAACGACCAGAAGGACAACAAACATGGCGGACTGTGTAGAAGAGGACCCGCTCCCTCTGTGAATATTATAATAAAGTGACACACTGGAGCTTTAATCCTGGTCTGATGTGGGTCTTTAATATTTACTTTGTGAGGGCAGAAGAAGAGACAGAAACACTGAGTCCTACATTTCCCACAATGCACCTGAACGGCTCTCCTTACCGCGGGGCTCCGTAGCGTCCCTGTCCCCAGCGGTCCGACGTCCTCCTGCTGTTGGCTGAGTTTCCATTGCAGAGCTGACCGAACTTCACACCGTCACACACACACAGCACAGCTGCACACAGACAGTTCATTTACTGATAATCAATCAATGTATTGATCTCAAACAGCTCCAGTCTCAATGCTGCATGTATTGAACAGCGGGGAGAAGAAGCTGAACTCTCCCTCTGATCTCAGTCAACCAGCTGTTAAACATCAACAATGAAGCTTTAGAATGGAACAGAGAACAATATTCAGTTTCTCACCCAACAAAACCACGACACGCCTCATCTTCATCTTCAGCGTCTGATCCAGAGCGAGTTCCTGCTGTCACACTGAGGCTCCACTTTATACTCGCTGATGGTCCTCTGTCCTCACAGTGGGACGGACAGACAGACGCTGTTTACCTGTCCTCACCTCTCTGACCTCACACACACAGGAGTTTTCAGTATTTCACAATAAGAGTCAGTGTGGAGCAACAGCAAACAGCAGCTGTTTGTCCTCCGCTCACCTCTGTGTATGTGAGTGAGAGTGTGTGTGTGTGTGTGTCTCTAGTTGGGCGTTTGAGTCCTGTTGTTGTTCCACTAGTCCTAACACCCTACTGTCTGTCTGTCTGTCTGTGACATCTTTTTCTTCACGTCTGTCACATCAGTCCTGATGTTGGGAAGCTGTGTAATGATGCTAATTAATAATAATAATAATAATAATAATAATAATAATACCTTGTTGCTGCTGTTGTTGTTCCAAGGGTTAAGGGTCAGATCCAATGTGCAACACTGAGGACAATCTTTTACCGTCTCTCTCAGAAAACATTGTCCCTGTCTAATAATAATAATAATAATAATAATAATAATAATAAATTGCTGCTGCAGTCAGTCACATGATCCTCTCTTTCAAAGAAATGACAGTGTGAAATAAAGTCTTTATTTTTTACAGCGATGAATTCTGTTCACTTTTGTTTTACGTCACACTGAACAAACACATCCTATAAAAATAACAATAACAATAATAATAATAACAATAATATTAAAGACTCTTCTGTCTGCAGTGATTGTAACCTGAGAGCTCAAACACAATAATGTTCAATATATCATAAATGTATAAACAATGTTCACAGATCTGACACTGCAGACTTTATACCTGCAGCTGTCAGCAGGGGGAGCCGACAGCTTCACTCCTCTATCGCCCCCCCGACTGATGCTAACCTGCATATGCTGGACAATTAGCATCATTAGCATAATTAGCATTAATAATCAGCTATATGGAGGTTCTGGGGTTACTGAGGACGCTGAGTCAGTGTGGAACTGCTGGAGACCCCGACTCTACATCCTTAACTATAAACTCTGGGGGGGTCCGGGGCGGTGGTCAGTTGAGCGTGAGTCCCTCGCTGACGGGCATGTTGATGTGGGCGGTCAGCAGCGGCGAGCTCTTCCCCTCGTGCAGGACAAACACCTTGATGATGTCAGAGATGCCCTTGTCGCTGGTGCACTCCACGAAGGTCTCGACGGGGTAGACGAGTCCAGGCACCAGCAGCGGGATCCTCATGTACGGGTTCCTCATCCTGTACAGGCTCTCGTCGTACAGGAAGCTGATGGCCAGGTTCATGACGGGCCGGCAGGCCGCCGTGTTCTGGACGTTCAGGGTCAGCTTGAAGGACGGGCCCAGACCCTGCACCACGGCGTTCATCTTGAGCGGCTCACTGAGGCTGGAGGACATTGGCGTCAGGCTGGACTCCAGCGCCTTCACGTAGGCTTTGGCGGAGGCCAGACGCAGGCGGCTCAGGTCCATCTGGAAGGCGCGGTGCATGGCCACGCCGTTCTCACGCTCCCTCAGCGTCTGGTCCACGTACAGCTTGGTCTTCTTGGGCACATTGAGGCGCACACTCTGGGCCAGCGGCGGCCCGGGGGCGCTGTCTCTGTCTTCGAAGGCTGCCGTCCTTTTAAGGATCTTCACCATCAGGCCGCCTCCCTTGGTGGTCATGATGAGGGTCCCGTCCTCGCGCCCGTACCGGCCGAAGCAGATGCTGGTGACCGTGTCGGGGGTCTTGATGGTGCTGAGCAGGTTCTTGTCCCGGAACAGCTGGACCTCGCAGTTGGCCAGGCCCACCAGAACCGCCTGGAAGCCCCGGGTGGGGAGGTCCATGGCTGCCATCGTGGTGATGGGAGCGGGAAGGACGGCGGTCCACAGCCTCTTCCCCTGAGGACACAGCGAGAGACACAACGAGAGACAGTTTACAGCTGCTATCAGTCCCGAACCAGTAGACACAGTCCCACTTCCTGAGGTGGTCTGAGACTCTGAGTCCTGGTCCACAGTTTATTGTCTACCACAGGTTGTTCATTATTTAAAATATATATATTTCATGTTTACAACTGTAATTAATAGATGAATTTGTTATTTCTTTGTTTTAATTTGCACAAAATTATCAACAATGTAGTTTACTTAAGCTTGTGTATAACTAGATTCAGGTTCAGGTTCTAAACCGGCTTCCATGGTCCTCATCAGCTCTAGATGGCGGTCCTACCTCCTCTACCGCCGTCAGTCTGTGGTAGACCGAGGTTCTCTGGTGATATTGAGTTCAGTGTGGACCAGGACTGCTGGTCTAACAAGTCCCAGACCACCTAAGGTGAGCAGATGTTTACCTTCTGCGTGAAGCCATGCAGGCTCTCGTCGGTGCAGCCGACAACCACGTTCTTCCCGACTCTCACCAGACCCACCGGGTGGGACGACAGCTCGATGCAGTACTTCGGTTTGTCCGAGTCCCTGAAGAGCAGCACAAACACGTCACTACTGCCCCCTGTCCCTGTACTAATGCTCCACTGTCCCTGTACTAATTCAATTCAATTCAATTCAATTCAATTTTATTTGTATAGCGCCAATTCATAACAGAAGTTATCTCAGGACACTTTTCAAATAGAGCAGGTCTAGACCGAACTCTTTAAAACATTAATTACAGAGACCCAACAGTACCACCATGAGCAAGACCTTGGAGACAAGGGCAAGGAAACACTGCCTGTTAAAAGGCAGAAACCTAGGACAGATCCTCCGGCTCTAGGTGGGTGGTCGTCTGTCTCGACCAGTTGGGGTGAGAGAGAGAGAGAGAGAGGCAGAGAGAGAGAGTGAGAGAGACAGAGAGAGAGACAGACAGACAGGTGCACAGCAACAACAGTATTGGCAATGGCAATCTAGCAGGACCATGGCAGGAGGCTCCACCAGGATCGACAAGAACCTGCCAGATGAGGAAGCACAAGAACTCCGGGGAAGAAGTGAAGTTAGTAACATGCATTAATGGAACATGAATGAGTGTAGAAAGAGAGAGGAAGAGAGGAGCTCAGTGCACCATGGGAAATCCCCCGATAGTCTAGGCCTATAGCAGCATAACTAAGGGATGGTTCAGGACTCACCTGATCCACAGGAGAGGAGCTTGGTAACTGAAGGCTCTGGCTCCTGTTCTACTTTTAGAGACTATAGGAACCACAAGTAGCCCAGCATTCAGAGAACGTAATGTTCTAGAGGGGTAATAGGGTACTATGAGCTCTTTAAGATATGAAGGGGCCTGACCATGAAGAGCTTTATAGGTGAGGAGGAGGATTTTAAATTCTATTCTACATTTTACAGGGAGCCAATGCAGAGAAGCTAGTACAGGAGAGATGTGATCTCTTTTTCTAGTTCCTGTCAGTACTCGTGCTGCAGCGTTCTGAATTAATTGGAGCGTTTTAATGGACTTATTGGGGCAACCTGATAATAAAGAGTTGCAGTAATCCAGCCTTGAAGTAACAAATGCATGGATTAGTTTTTCTGCATCTGTCTGTGATAGTATGTGTCTAATTTTTCTAATATTACGTAAATGAAAGAAGGCAGTCCTAGAGGTCTGCTTTATGTGGGAGTTAAATGACAAATCCTGATCAAAGATAACTCCAAGATTCCTGACAGTGGTGCTAGAGGCCAAGTTAATGCCATCTAGAGTAACTATATCTTTAGACAGTGAGTCTCTAAGGTTTTTGGGGCCAAGAACAAGAATTTGTTTTTTTTTAGTTTAACATCAGAAAATTGCAGCTCATCCAGGATTTTATGTCCGTAAGACATGTTTGTAATTTAGATAATTGATTAATTTCATCTGGCTTGATCGATAGATATAACTGCGTATCATCTGCATAACAGTGAAAGTTAATGGAGTGATTCCTAATAATGTTGCCTAAAGGGAGCATACTAATGCCCCCCGTCACTGTACTAATGCCCCCTGTCCCCTGGCCCTGTACTAATGTAATGTAAATGTAAATGTGAGTTAAACAGTGAGTCAGAAGGAACCTCCCTGGGTACCCTGGGTTGGGGTTATTAGGGTAATTAGGGTTATTAGGGTAATTAGGGTTATTAGGGTAATTAGGGTAAGATCTGGTCTCCGGGCTCAAACAGCAGTCTCACCTGCGCAGGATGTAGATGTTCCCGTTGCGACAAGCCACCGTGATACGAAACTCCACGTCGAACTGACCCGTCACGTCCATCATGGTGGGAGCGTCCGGCAGCGACATCTTCAACATAAAGTCACACTTATAGTCAGTGAGGACCTCAACCACATCTCACCTGCAGGTCTCTGAGGACCCCAACCACATCTCACCTGCAGGTCACTGAGGACCCCAACCACATCTCACCTGCAGGTCTCTGAGGACCTCAACCACATCTCACCTGCAGGTCTCTGAGGACCTCAACCACATCTCACCTGCAGGTCACTGAGGACCCCAACCACATCTCACCTGCAGGTCACTGAGGACCCCAACCACATCTCACCTGCAGGTCTCTGAGGACCTCAACCACATCTCACCTGCAGGTCTCTGAGGACCTCAACCACATCTCACCTGCAGGTCTCTGAGGACCTCAACCACATCTCACCTGCAGGTCACTGAGGACCTCAACCACATCTCACCTGCAGGTCTCTGAGGACCTCAACCACATCTCACCTGCAGGTCTCTGAGGACCTCAACCACATCTCACCTGCAGGTCACTGAGGACCCCAACCACATCTCACCTGCAGGTCTCTGAGGACCTCAACCACATCTCACCTGCAGGTCACTGAGGACCCCAACCACATCTCACCTGCAGGTCTCTGAGGACCTCAACCACATCTCACCTGCAGGTCACTGAGGACCCCAACCACATCTCACCTGCAGGTCACTGAGGACCCCAACCACATCTCACCTGCAGGTCTCTGAGGACCCCAAGCCACATCTCACCTGCAGGTCTCTGAGGCTCATGAGTTCAGTATCAGCGGGGTTTAACTGCCTTAATAAACTTTAATTACAGTTCTATAACTTTTAACATTCACATTAAAATAATAACAATCCAATAATAACAGCACACTGCTGTAAAGCCTGATTATTTGTATTATAGCAGAGTTCACCTGTATTTATAGATCATTGTTTTACACTGTAAATATCTTTAATTAAATATTAAGAAGACATTTTATATTAAATTAAAGTTACTAACTGTATTTTAAGTCTGTTGATTTCTGTTATTGTACTGTAACTCTTTGTTGTTGTTTACTGTTATTGTTCTGTATCTCTTTGTTGTTGTTTGCTGTTATTGTTCTGTGTCTCTTTGTTGTTGTTTGTTATTGTACTGTAACTCTTTGTTGTTGTTTTCTGTTATTGTTCTGTATCTCTTGGTTGTTGTTTTCTGTTATTGTTCTGTATCTCTTTGTTGTTGTTTAATGTTATTGTTCTGTATCTCTTTGTTGTTGTTTTCTGTTATTGTTCTGTATCTCTTTGTTGTTTATTGTTATTGTACTGTATCTCTTTGTTGTTGTTTACTGTTATTGTTCTGTATCTCTTTGTTGTTGTTTTCTGTTATTGTTTTTATCTCTTTGTTGTTTAATGTTATTGTTCTGTAACTCTTTGTTGTTTATTGTTATTGTACTGTATCTCTTTGTTGTTGTTTTCTGTTATTGTTCTGTGTCTCTTTGTTGTTGTTTTCTGTTATTGTTCTGTGTCTCTTTGTTGTTGTTTTCTGTTATTGTTCGTATCTCTTTGTTGTTGTTTTCTGTTATTGTTCTGTATCTCTTTGTTGTTGTTTACTGTTATTGTTCTGTATCTCTTTGTTGTTGTTTTCTGTTATTGTTCTGTATCTCTTTGTTGTTTATTGTTATTGTACTGTATCCCTTTGCTGTTATTTTCTGTTATTGTTCTCTATCTCTTTGTTGTTTGCTGTTATTGTACTGTATCTCTTTGTTGTTGTTTATTGTTATTGTACTGTATCTCTTTGTTGTTGTTTATCTGTTATTGTTACTTTATCTCTTGTTTTTTTGTATTGTTCTTTTTCTTGTTGTTTATTGTTATTGTACTGTGTCTCTTTGTTGTTATTTTCTGTTATTGTTCTGTATCTCTTTGTTGTTATTTTCTGTTATTGTTCTGTATCTCTTTGTTGTTGTTTACTGTTATTGTTCTGTATCTCTTTGTTGTTATTTTCTGTTATTGTTCTGTGTCTCTTTGTTGTTATTTTCTGTTATTGTTCTGTATCTCTTTGTTGTTGTTTTCTGTAATTGTTCTGTATCTCTTTGTTGTTATTTTCTGTAATTGTTCTGTGTCTCTTTGTTGTTTTTTTCTGTTATTGTTTGTATCTCTTTGTTGTTATTTTCTGTTATTGTACTGTATCTCTTTGTTGTTGTTTTGTGTTATTGTTCTGTATCTCTTTGTTGTTATTTTCTGTTATTGTTCTGTATCTCTTTGTTGTTGTTTTCTGTAACTTCTCCACATTAAATGAACAGAATGATGATGTCCTAATAAGGTGCCGTGAGCTCACCTTGGAGAGGATGATGAAGGCTTCGGGGTCGAGGACGTAAACTTCGCAGCTCTCTGTGCCGATCACCAGACAGCTGACGCCGTCATCATCGGCCGTGCTCTTCTTCAGAGTGCCGATGCAGGTGATGACTGTCTGAAACAGGACCGACCAATCAGAGCGAGCAAGGAGTAAAATCAGAACATGCTGACATTGTAACGAGTCCTACCTGCCGTCTGATTGGCTGCTGCTTGTGCAGCTGGACGAACTCGTCCATGTCGTCTGTCTCCAGAGAGAGGAACCTGAGCGAGCGGACGGACAGCGGGACGTCGGCCTTCTTCCTGATGCTTTCCAACATCTCCTTCAGGGTCAGGGGGTCGATCTGACCCTCCCTCACCTGCTGCCACACATCCTGAACAGGTGAACACACAGAGTCACATGGTGTCTCTCTCCCTCTGCCTGTGTTGTATCGCAGCCTCTCTGGTTTGTTTCCATAGCCGGTCTGCTCCGACTGAAACTGCTGTTTTTATCATCTACGTCGGTGAATTAAGGATTTATTTCCACCAAACCAGAGTTGGTGATTGTTGGAAACACTGACAGAGACACTTTTAATGAGTTTAAATTATTTGAAATAAAGGATTCTGTGGACTAATTAATAATAAAGCTAAATAAATAAGACACAGACACACACACACACACACACACAGACCTGCTCCAGTGAGTTGACCTCCAGGCCAGGCAGCGTGAACTTGAAGTACGGTCGGAGGTTTTTGTAGACATAGATGCAGGGTCCAGACGCCACGGCGACAGCGGGGATACGTGGCTCGTGCAGGTCCATGAAGAAGGCAACGAGGCCGGCGGGCAGGTCCAGCAGGGTGCTCTCGCTCATCAGCGCCGTGCCGCGGTACACCTTCAGCTTCATGCCCGACGAGCCGGAGCCCAGGTCCCCCACCACCAGCCGGCTCTCCCCGTCCCCGCTCAGGTCCGCCAGGTCCACGCAGGACGAGAAGGTGTACAGGCCCGCCACCGGGTCGTAGTGAGCGTCCAGCCACTTCCCGCCGTCGCCGCCCGACTCCACAGACGACATGATGACAGCAGGGAGGACACCTTCGTAACCATAACAACAATAAAAATAACAACATTAATGATGTATATAGAAATATATAAAATAATCAGTGCTTCAGTAAGTGTACTGATTTTTTATCTTTATTTCTAATAATAAACATGTTTAAATGTATAAAAACTGAGAGAAGAAACATTTAAAAGAGAATTTTAAAGAAAAGAGGAATAAATAAGTATAAAAGAAAAGACAAAGAAAATATAATGCTGGGGGCTCTATGTAAAAATGTTTAATATAGTTTAATACTAGGGCTGGGTAAAAATATTGATTCATCAATGCATTGCAATATATTTTTTCCCAATTCAATATTGATTCATCAAATCCGCTCTCTGGAATTAATTAATTAAATTAATGTTAGGATTATTATTCCTCGTTGTGGTAACACCAACTGAGGTCAGCTTAGGGTCCGAAGCTGTATACAGTCTGGTTTTCCAGTCTCTTTTAAGAGAGTTAGCAGCAGTGTTAAACCAGCGCCTTCAACTTTAACAGCAGTGTAAACCCAGAACACAGGAAATAGAGCAAAGTAAGGTAGTGTGTAAGCTGTGCCAGGCACTACTAAAATACTGCTATAACACCATGCAGATGCTCTGCAGCAACCCGCGGCTAAACCTGTGGATTCAAATCAGACACAACTCCACAGATCCTTCCTTTGCAAACTGCCGCCAAACTCTGCCCGCACACAGAAGATAACGGAGTCTGTGGCCGTCTTCATATGTACGGACCTACAGCTGTACAGTGTCGGGGAAAACAGTTTTAAGAAGATGGTATACGCACTGGAACCACGATACGCCATACCAACACGCAAACACATGGCGGAAGTCGCCGTCCCGAAGCTGTAATTTACTTTTTACTGAATCGATATCGAAGCATTTAAATCAATATCGAATCGAAATCCAATCGAATTTTGAGGTTCTTAACAATACCCAGCCCTATTTAATACAGTTTAATATAGTTTAATATAGTGTAATACAGTTTAATATAGTCTAATATAGTGTAATATAGTTTAATATAGTATAATATAGTCTAATATAGTTTAATATAGTGTAATATAGTCTAATATAGTTTAATATAGTGTAATATAGTCTAATATAGTGTAATATAGTCTAATATAGTTTAATATAGTGTAATATAGTGTAATATAGTTTAATATAGTGTAATATAGTGTAATATAGTTTAATATAGTGTAATATAGTTTAATATAGTCTAATATAGTGTAATATAGTGTAATATAGTTTAATATAGTGTAATATAGTTTAATATAGTCTAATATAGTTTAATATAGTGTAATATAGTTTAATATAGTGTAATATAGTACAGGCTGATGTAGTAAAAGAACACTTGAATCTTGAACCTGATAAAACATGAATTATGTTCACACCTTTGTGACCACCTGTGAAGCTCTAGCGACCCCTGGTGTGGGTCCCGGCCCCTCAGGTTGGGAACCACAGCTTTAAAGCGTGTAAGAAAACTTAATAAATACACACAGCAGGTCTAAATGTCAGCATCTGGTTCACTTCTGTTCCCTTCAGTAAACGGTTGGGAAGCTCTGCTGTAGTCAGATGACTCTTATTAGTTTATTAACAGAACTATGAGCGCTCTATAAACAGCTGTAGAGACATTATTACAAACGAAGATGGTAAAAATGTGATTAAATGTTGTAAAAATGTGATTAAATATGGTAAAAATGTGATTAAATGTTGTAAAAATGTGATTAAATATGGTAGAAATGTGATTAAATATGGTAAAATGTGATTAAAAGTTGTAAAAATGTGATTAAATGTTATAAAATGTGATTAAAATGTGATTAAATGTTGTAAAAATGTGATTAAATATGGTAAAAATGTGATTAAATATGGTAAAATGTGATTAAAAGTTGTAAAAACGTTATAAAATGTGATTAAAATGTGATTAAATGTTGTAAAATGTGATTAAAATGTGATTAAATGTTGTAAAAATGTGATTAAATATGGTAAAAATGTGATTAAATATGGTAAAATGTGATTAAAAGTTGTAAAAATGTTATAAAATGTTATAAAATGTGATTAAATGTTGTAAAATGTGATTAAATGTTGTAAAAATGTGATTAAATGTTATAAAATGTGATTAAATGTTGTAAAATGTGATTAAAATGTGATTAAATGTTATAAAATGTGATTAAATGTTGTAAAATGTGATTAAAATGTGATTAAATGTTATAAAATGTGATTAAAATGTGATTAAATGTTATAAAATGTGATTAAAATGTGATTAAATGTTATAAAATGTGATTAAATGTTGTAAAATGTGATTAAATGTTGGAAAAATTTGATTAAATGTGATTAAATGTTGTAAAATGTGATTAAATATGGTAAAATGTGATTAAAAGTTGTAGAAATGTTATAAATGTGATTAAATGTTGTAAAATGTGATTAAATGTTGTAAAAATGTGATTAAATATGGTAAAATGTGATTAAAAGTTGTAAAAATGTTATAAAATGTTATAAAATGTGATTAAATGTTGTAAAATGTGATTAAATGTTGTAAAAATGTGATTAAAATGTGATTAAATGTTGTAAAATGTGATTAAAATGTGATTAAATGTTATAAAATGTGATTAAAATGTGATTAAATGTTATAAAATGTGATTAAATGTTGTAAAATGTGATTAAATGTTGGAAAAATTTGATTAAATGTTATAAAATGTTATAAAATGTGATTAAATGTGATTAAATGTTGTAAAATGTGATTAAATATGGTAAAATGTGATTAAAAGTTGTAGAAATGTTATAAATGTGATTAAATGTTGTAAAATGTGATTAAATGTTGTAAAAATGTGATTAAATATGGAAAAATGTGATTAAAAGTTGTAAAAATGTTATAAAATGTTATAAAATGTGATTAAATGTTGTAAAATGTGATTAAATGTTGTAAAAATGTGATTAAAATGTGATTAAATGTTGTAAAATGTGATTAAAATGTGATTAAATGTTATAAAATGTGATTAAATGTTGTAAAATGTGATTAAAATGTGATTAAATGTTATAAAATGTGATTAAAATGTGATTAAATGTTATAAAATGTGATTAAAATGTGATTAAATGTTATAAAATGTTGTAAAATGTGATTTAATGTTGTAAAATGTGATTAAATGTTGTAAAAATTTGATTAAATGTTATAAAATGTTATAAAATGTGATTAAATGTGATTAAATGTTGTAAAATGTGATTAAATATGGTAAAATGTGATTAAAAGTTGTAGAAATGTTATAAATGTGATTAAATGTTGTAAAATGTGATTAAATGTTGTAAAAATGTGATTAAATGTTATAAAATGTTATAAAATGTTATAAAATGTGATTAAATGTTGTAAAAATGTGATTAAATGTTGTAAAATGTGATTAAATGTTGTAAAACAGTAATTAAATGTTATAAAATAAGATTAAAATGTGATTAAATGTTGTAAAATGTGATTAAAATGTGATTAAATGTTATAAAATGTGATTAAATGTTATAAAATGTTGTAAAATGTGATTAAATGTTGTAAAATGTGATTTAATGTTGTAAAAATGTGATTAAATGTTATAAAATGTGATTAAATGTGATTAAATGTTGTAAAATGTGATTAAATGTTGTAAAATGTGATTAAATGTTATAAAATGTGATTAAATGTTGTAAAAATGTGATTAAATGTTATAAAATGTGATTAAATGTTATAAAATGTGATTAAATGTGATTAAATGTTGTAAAAATGTGATTAAATGTTATAAAATGTGATTAAATGTGATTAAATGTGATTAAATGTTATAAAATGTGATTAAATGTGATTAAATGTTATAAAATGTGATTAAATGTGATTAAATGTTATAAAATGTGATTAAAATGTGATTAAAATGTGACTAAATGTTATAAAATGTGATTAAATGTTATAAAATGTGATTAAATGTTATAAAATGTGATTAAATGTGATTAAATGTTATAAAATGTGATTAAATGTTATTAAATGTGATTAAATGTGATTAAATGTTATAAAATGTGATTAAATGTGATTAAATGTTGTAAAATGTGATTAAATGTTGTAAAATGAAGCTGATCTCTTACCAGCAGCTGACACTGACGCTCTCACCGTTGTCAAGGAAACCGTGTTGCTGCGGCTCGTGAACGTTGCCGTCTCCCGCCTTTTAACCCGTTATTATGACGCACTTTAAGGTTTCTGAGATAAGGCCGTTATTAGGACGCTGTTTAAGGTTCTGAGATAAGGTTTTATCTCTTTAAGGTATAAAGTGTGTGGCAGCCTCAGTCCGGGTCCGGACGCGGTGCTACATTAGCAGCTAGCTGCTCTCTCTGAGCCTCTAATCCAATAATCCTCTCTCTGCTCCGACACCGCAGCCGTCCCCGGCCGATGACGTCAATCTCACCCGCCGTTGTTTGTTTGTTGTTTTTAGAAATTCGCGGCAATAATTAATGTTTGTTTTCTTTAAAGTCGTCTTTTGTTTAAAGTTGTACTAAAGTAGAAACAGTATAATCAATGCATAATATACTGTTTTTACATTTATAGTCTCGCGTGACTGTGACAGAGGGTGGGAACGAGATCTGAGTGACGTGTCCCTGTTCCAGCCACCTGATTGGTCGCCCGGTCCGAGTTTAAAAGTGAGCCGCGGAGAGGAGAAGCAGCTAACGGCTAACGGCTAACGGCTAACGCTTTAAATAACCTGTCTGCTGAATAATACATTCAGAGTGAGTTGGAGTTTGATTAAATGTCTGTTTAACCTTTAGAGCTGTGATTTAATGATGACGTATTCTTCTCAAAATACGTTAAAAGAAAACAAACGCGTGTCTGTGTTTGCGGGTTAGCTGGTTGTGGCTAATGCTAACAACAACAACAGTAGTTTAACACAGATTTGTACATTTGCAGCTCGTTGCCGCCGTCTGGCTGCTTTCAGAGCGGAGGTACTGAACCGGGACACCTTCTGTTCTCCTCACACAGAACTCCTCTCAAATATCTTCACATCTAAAACCAGATTACTTAAATATTCGCCCACATGTGCGGTCGGTTCTGAATAAATACACTTCTAATTATTCTGTTGCAGTGGTACAATCTCAACCACACACAGTTTATCTTCGTATTAACTGAGATATATCCACAGTGAGTTGGCTCAGTGTTAAACGTTGACCTTTGACTGTGGCCGGATGGGGGCGCTGTGAGCTCGTGGAAGTGGAGTCAGGGTGAAAATGGATGGAGCTCAATGTGACTGATGCTGACGTGTTGTTTGTGTGTTACAGCGAAGATGATGGAGTCGTGTTTAGCCGGGAAGCCGGAGAGAGTCGGTCCGGTGGAGGTGGACGACATCAGGAGAGACCTGCTCGGTGAATTCGCTGCTCTGCCTGCACAGGTAGGTCTCACCTGTCTGAGAGCTGCTGCTCTGCTGCACAGGTAGGTCTCACCTGTCTGAGAGCTGCTGCTCTGCTGCACAGGTAGGTCTCACCTGTCTGAGAGCTGCTGCTCTACTGCACAGGTAGGTCTCACCTGTCTGAGAGCTGCTGCTCTACTGCACAGGTAGGTCTCACCTGTCTGAGAGCTGCTGCTCTGCTGCACAGGTAGGTCTCACCTGTCTGAGAGCTGCTGCTCTGCTGCACAGGTAGGTCTCACCTGTCTGAGAGCGGTGGAGGCAGTGGTGGAGACATTTGTTCTTCACATGAGAACTGAACTGAGTCGGTGGAAGAAGGATAACAGCGTTGTGTTTGTCTCATCAGGACAGCGTTCAGTCGCAGACGGAGAACCTGCAGGTCTACCTGAGGGTCCGACCTTTCACTGCAGCCGAGAGCGACAGCGGAGGGTCACAGGTAACACTCACCCAACTTAATGAACCCAGAACTGTTCTTCTAATTAATAATATATTTTACATTTAACCACGGACACAGATCCAACAAAGGTTTGGCTTTTAAAAATATATTTGGGGCTTTTATTGCCTTTAATCAGCTGTACCAGCTGTACCAGCAGTACCAGCAGTACCAGTACCAGCAGATACTGGGAGAGCAGTGTGACCGATGGCTGATAATGATATTATATTATTATATATGATGTATAATGAGATATTATTACAGTCTAATCAACGTTGTCTGAGCCAGTAACTTCTTGTTTTAGACACTTTTTCTTTATCTGCCTCTTGAGTGCAGAAACCTCTAATCTCATAAAGCAGATAACAGCCTGTAATATATCAATATATATTATATATCAATCATTAATGTGGAAAGTGCAGAGTGCTGTCCTATTGGCAAGAAAAATTAAAGAGTGGGACTCTTCCCCCAGGCTCCGTGGGTTCGAGTCCCACCTGTAACCCTCTCCTGTTCTATAACGGCACCTTTAGAAAATAAAAAAGATTTCACCAGTGTATAATAACCCTGTTGTTCCTGTTCTTCCTCAGGAGTGTGTGACTATCGAGGGCCCCGACACCGTGGTCCTGAAGGCTCCCAGGAGCTGTCAGTCAAACCGACCAAGCGAGAAGTCCCTCCCACAAACAGCTCAGAAGTTCAGCTTCACACAGGTAGCTCCGACATCACCTGTCTGTCTGCAGAAGCCTCTTCCCAGAGAAACACTGATCACACTGAAGTTCATGTTGTTGTTGTTGTTGTTGACGTTGTTTTTGTTGTTGTTGAGGTGTTCGGTCCGGAGGCCAGTCAGAGGAAGGTGTTTGAGGGTTCAGTTCGCGGTTTGGTCCGAGACGTTCTGGATGGAGGAAACTGTCTCGTGTTTACCTACGGAGTCACCAATGCTGGAAAAACCTTCACCTTCCTGGGTCAGAGACTGTCTGTCTGTCTGTCTGTCTGTCTGTCTGTCTGTCTGTCTGTCTGTCCTCTCTCTGCTCTTTCACAATAAGGTGTGTGGAGAGAAACCTGATCACTGACCTGCTGCATGTTTAAATCTTCACAGTAAACACGTTCTCTGATTACCTGCTTTCTCAAGGACACATACACACAATATATATACACATATAATAATATAATATAATATAATATACACACTCTAACACAATCCAGACATCTGGGCTCCTCTGACTGTCTCTTGTTTCTATCCAGTGTGTTCTGCAGGCTTTCTGACTGTCTGTCTCTCCTCCCGTCTGTCTCTCAGGTCCAGATCACGACAGCGGCCTGTTGCCCAGGTCCCTGTCTGTCATCTTCAACAGTATCGAAGGTCGTCTGTACGGTCGTAACGATCTGAAGCCTCAGCGCTGCAGAGACTTCAGCAGACTGACCCCAGACCAGCAGACAGCAGAGAGCAGCAGCAAGAAGAACCTGCTGAGGCTCCTCAAAGAGGTGAGACAGGAAACAGAAATAAAACCCCCTGTATTCAGTGTGAGGATGTGTACGAGTCAGTCTCTTCTTTCTCTCTGCAGAGCGACAAAAGTCTGACGGCCGGAAGATCCACCTTCCTCGACGGTCAGTGACGTTCTCTAAAGGTTCCTGAAATATGACTCAACCACATTAGCTACAGTTAGCTAGTGAGCAGCCAGATCATCCCTGAGAGTCGGATGTTTGTAGACGTTAGTGGACTCCATTTATAAGCTAATGTTAGCTAGTGTTGCCCACTGTTGGCACTCGGGAGCATAAAGGTCACAACCTTTGACCCTCATCCTACATAGAGACACATAGAGACACATAGAGATCAGTCCACAGGCAGCAGAGGGACAAAGCTACACTACAACCTGTTCACTCTCTGCTCACATGTTAAACTTTAAGTGACTATTTGACCCAGAGTACTGTGTGTGTGTGTGTCTGTGTGTGTGTGTCTGTGTGTGTGTGTGTGTGTGTGTCTGTGTGTGTGTGTGTGTGTGTGTGTGTGTGTGTCTGTGTGTGTGTGTGTGTGTCTGTGTCTGTGTCTGTGTGTGTGGGTGTGTGTCTGTGTGTGTGTGTGTGTGGGTGTGTGTCTGTGTGTGTGTGTCTGTCTGTGTGTGTGTGTCTGTCTGTGTGTCTGTGTCTGTGTGTGTGGGTGTGTGTCTGTGTGTGTGTGTGTGTGTGGGTGTGTGTCTGTGTGTGTGTGTGTGTGTGTGTGTGTGTGTGTGTGTGTGTGTCTGTGTGTGTCTGTGTGTGTGTGTGTGTGTGTGTGTGTGTGTGTGTCTGTGTGTGTCTGTGTCTGTTGTGTGTGTTGTGTGTGTGTGTGTGTGTGTGTGTGTGTGTGTGTGTCTGTGTCTGTGTGTGTGTATCTGTGTGTGTGTGTATCTGTGTGTGGGTGTGTGTCTGTGTGTGTGTGTGTGTCTGTGTATCTGTGTGTGTGTGTGTGTCTGTGTGTGTGTGTGTGTGTCTGTGTGTGTGTGTGTGGGTGTGTCTGTGTGTGTGTGTGTGTGTCTGTGTGTAGGCTCGTCTCTCAGCACTGACAGCAGTGTGAACAGCGTCTCTGAAGCCGACAGTTTCTGTCTGGACGTCGACTCAAACGTCCGTTTCTCAGTCTGGGTTTCATTCTGTGAGATTTACAACGACAACATCCACGACCTGCTGGAACAGGTAACACACACACTGACCTTGGTCTCAACGGCCTCACTCAGGACTTAAACTGCACATATTTTTATTTTCATATATATATATATATATATATATATATATATATATATAAAACACGATCAGTCGTCCAGCTGTGATTGATCTCCTGGTTGATCTGTGACGTTCAGCTTCCCAGTGGACACCAGAGGAGGACGGTGCTGCGTCTGTCTCAGGACGTCAAAGGGAACTCCTTCATCAAAGGTAACACTTAGTGTGTCTTTATCTAATCAAATCCATCTTTTAACAGTCTTTAAATGTGGGGCGGGGCTTATGAGGGGTCGGTGCAGGGCTTTAGAGGAGCATCGAGCTCAGTCGTGTTTGTACAGGATAATAAATTGATGTAACTGAAGTCAACAAACCAACGTTGATCACAATCTGATAGAAGGTCACAGCTCACTCTGGTTTAGCTGCTGTGTGTTGATGAACGTGCTCCATGTTTCAGACCTACGCTGGGTGCAGGTCAACAGCTCTGAGGAGGCTTACAGAGTGATGAAGATTGGGAAGAAGAACCAGAGTTTCTCCTCCACCAGACTGAACCAGCTGTCCAGCAGGAGGTCAGAGCCAACAGATCTTATTTAAAAACCTTTTAGAGGAGAATTACTCTCTGAACATGCAGCTCTACTGATGTATAAATCAAACATTATCAAAAGTTATTCAGATTGAATCAGTCATAGTAACAGAAGTAATCAGGGTTTTGTGTCTCTGCAGCCACAGCATCTTCTCCATCCGGATCCTCAGAGTGGATGACGTCGGAGTTCCTAGAGTCCTCGGCATCAGCGAGTAAGACCGCACTTCACTCACGCTGTTTTTACTTCAGCCAGACCTGCAGTCTGACTGTCTGACTGTCTGACTGTCTGACTGTCTGTCTGACTGTCTGTCTGACTGTCTGTCTGTCTGACTGTCTGTCTGTCTGTATGTAGGCTGGCTCTGTGTGACCTCGCCGGCTCGGAGCGCTGCTCTCGGACTCACAACACCGGAGAGCGACTGAAGGAGGCGGGAAACATCAACAGTTCGCTGCTGACGCTCGGGAAGTGCATCAGCGCCATGAGACTCAACCAAAACGCCAAGTAAGACGGCGCCGTTTTTAAAAACCCGCAGCTTCTTCCCGTGAAACAGACGGATGTATTGAGCACAGCACTACAGGGCGCCGGGAGTCAGCGCAGACTCATCGTTCCCTCTGGCTCGTTCCTCAGTGCGCAGACTGTTGCTCCGGTCTGACAGATGATCTGTTTCCTTGCAG